AATTTCATCTGGAATTTCCCCCCAGAAATTGGAAAACTGATCTTAAAATTCCTATGGAAGTCTGGCATGTGTGGTGCATGCCTGTAATTCCAATGGCTCAAGAGGCAGGAGGGTCATGAGTTCAAAGCCAGCTTCAGCAACTTAGTGAGGTACTGAGCAACTTAGTGAAASTCTATCTCTAAATAAAATATTTTAAAAAGGGCAAATATATCTAAAAAATACCAAATATACCTAAAAAGCATAATTAAAGAAAATATTCCATTACAATGATTTCAAAGTGTATCTAACATATATATCAGATATATATGTTATGTGTGTGTGGTGTGTGTGTGTTTGTTTGTGTCCCTTATGGAAATGCAAAGGACCCAGAATAGTCAAAATTCTTGTTAAAGAAGAAAAAAAATGGAGGCTTCATACTTTCTGATTTGGAAATATACTACAAAGCTACAGTAATCAAGAGAGTGTGGTACCTGCGTAAGGATAGACATATGGACTAGACATTAAGAATCTATTAAGAATTAAGAGTYTGGAAATAAGTCTTTACATTTTTTGTCAATTATTTTGACAAGATTTTGAAGACAATTTAGCAGAGGAGGCAATACTCTTCAATAAATTGGGCTGGGACAAATGAATATCTACATGCAAGAGGATGAAATTGAACTTTTATATTATATATAAAAATTCACTCAAAATGTATCAAAAAACTAAATATAAGATCTAAACTAAAAACTCTTAGGAAAAAAACCATATGAATTAATAATCTGATACTCCACAGAATAGGAGAGAATACTTATAAATCTTATATTTGAGAAAGGACTATATATTAAAAAAGAACTGTTACAACTCAACAATAAAGAAATAACCAACTTAAAAATGGACGACTCCATGACCAAATAAAAACTGCCCAATTAATTGTATGCTTAACAGGAAATTTTATGGTACGTATATAATATCTCAGTAAATCTATTATTCTTTATAAGAATAGAAACTTGAATATTCCTTTAGACATTAAATAAACTAACTCAGAATTATAAATCTACTCTCTTTCTCCTCCCCTTCCATACACACACACACACACACACACACAAAAAAAAAAAAACAGTTGTATAACAAATTCTACCAAATATCCAAAGAATTAGACTTAGTTCTCGCTCACATCCTGCATGGTGAGGGAAAGGGTTCTCCTCCAGAGGGATGGGTTGGCTAAGAAATAAAAGCTAAGAAAAGTAGTACTATGAAATAACCACAGAAAACAGAAATATAGTTTCACAATGGGGACAACCACGGGCCAATCTGACCAGATGGGTACAACTTCTGACAAAGAACAGGGCCCACACCCAGTTTATTTATATCAGAACAGATCAAAGAGATTTGATAGAAAGTTCTTCACCAAAAGAGGATACAGGTGGGGGCAGGTAGGGTGCTCAGTTTCTAACAGGTCACACCCATCTCCCTTGCTGCGCAGGACCTTTAAGGGAAGAGCTGAGGGGGAGTTCACTTGTATTGGGTGGTCTTAATAGTACGAGTGCCACTATAAGTTCCCAAATACTGGATCTACCCCTTCACTGGCTTCAATGTTGAAAAGGTCCTTACACATTTCACTTCACAGGTGGCTTTCCACACTTAGTCAAACTCTTCTATGGAAAAAARAAGTGATATCATTCATCTCATTTTATAAAGTTAGTATATCTGTAAACAAAATCAGATATAGAATAATTCTGGGTGATTTTAACACACCTCTTTCACCACCGATATATCTTCCAACAAAAGCTAAACAAAGAAACTACAGAACACAATAAAACAATCAATAAACTTAGACTTAACTGACATATGTTGAATACCTTATCCATCAACAAGCGATTACACTTTCTTCTCAGCAGCACATGGATCCTTCTCTAAAATTGGCCATATATTATGCCACAAAGCAACTCTTAGCAAATACAAAAAAGTAGAGATACTAGCCTGCATTCTATCAGATTATAATAGAATGAAATTAGAAATCAATGATAAAATTAAAAAATAGAAGCTACTCCAACACCTGGAGACTAAATAATATGTTATTGAAAGAACAACAGGTTGCAAAAGACATCAAAGAAGAGATTTAAAAATTCTTAGAGGTAAATGAGAACACTGATACTACATAATCAAAATCTCTGGGACACTATGAAGGCAGTACTCAGAGGAAAGTTCATTGCATGGACTTCATTCCTCAAAAGAAGAAAAAGTCAACAAATAAATGAACTTACATTACATCTCAAAGCCCTAGAAAAAGAAGAACAAATCAACATCTAAAGCAGTAGAAGACAGGAAATAATTAAAATTATAGCTGAGATCAATGAAATTGAAACAAAAGAAACAATTGAAAAAATTGACAAAACAAAAAGCTGGTTCTTTGAAAAAATAAATAAAATTGATAAACCTTTAGCCATGCTAATAAAGAGAAGGAGGGAGAAAACTCAAATTACTGACATCTGTGATGAAAAAGGAAATTTCATGACAGACACTACAGAAATACAGAAAATAATTTTA